TTACAACGTTTTCTCGCATTCAACGAACTGTGCTATCATTTATATTTAACACTTTGGTCATCATAACATTTATTCAACCATTTCAAAATTGTTATTTAATTTGTATTTTTCGGCTTTTTACCATTTGTCAGATTGATTCATAGATTAAAGTATCAGCACCTGATAGTCGTATTCTGCTTGAGCCCAATCGTCGGTTATTCGTAAAGGTCCGGCCATTACAAAAAACCCGTAAAACATCGTTTTTTCTCGGCTTCTAGTAAGTGTTCTACAAAAAAACGTTCGTTACTTTTAACCAGTTTCTTAACTACTATCAAAGAACTTATCATTAACTCTTGTAATAAAACATTTGAAATAGTGGAATTAACTATTTTAGAGTGTGAAAAAATGTTTTAGATAAATTACGTGCGTTTGGTTGATTGATTGATTGTTTTAACGCCACTTTCGGCACTATTGTGCTATTTCGTGGCGGTCAGTTTTTACTGGTGGAAGAAGCCGGAGTGCCCTGAGAGAACCAATGACCTTCGATAGGAAAACTGACAATCCTAGTCAATTAAGATTAGAGTCGAGGCTAGTGATACAGTAGTTCGACTACTAAGACCATTCGGCCACCGATGCCCCTTCGTGCTTTTATTGGTCCTTTTAATTCGGATGACAGTTTTGACTTTTCAACTCTTTACACTACACTTCCACACAATTTCATCAAACAAAATTTTTCATATTTAATTAAATGGTCGTGTGAAAAATATGATTGAAAATTTATTTGCTGCAACTCATATGAAGCCTTCTTCTTTAAATAGAAAGAATATGGTAGGTGTACTTACTAGATGTGTGATGAGATGATTGAAGCTGTAAATGTTCTCCTTGCAAATATTTATGTACGTTTCGACAATGAAGTTTATCGACAGATTGTAGGTATTCCCATGGGCACCAATTTCGCCCTTTTAATAGTAGACTTGTTCCTGTACTGTTATGAAATACAGTGTATGGCCTAAAACTCGTCTAAGTTCAATTTAGTTGATAAATCCAACAACAGCTGCTACCCTTATCTTCATATTTTTCGTTAAATAATCAAGATTTTTAAAAATATACTGGCAAAATGTACCCAAAGGAACTTACTTAAAATAAATCGATATTCCATTCGTTTGATGTGTATGAGCTTTTCATTTTGCCACTTGATAAGGGACTTTCCGTTTTGAATTTTCCTTTGAGTTCGGTATTTTTGTTATTTTATTTTTTATAAACGGTAATAACTGTCTTTTCCTAGATTTGGGTATTTCAGTTTTACACGAGAAACTCGATTTTTTTGTTCCATATTGTTAGTTTTCCTTTTTTGGACGCTGATGTTCATTTTGCACCATCTAACGGTGTTTATATATCCCAACGCATTCGCTATGCCTCTATCTATACTGATGTTTTGGATTTCAATGAACGTAATCTATGTATTTGAAGGATTTCGTTACCAAATTACTTAATACCTTTACTAAATACTTTTATCAGTATAAATATTGATTTTGTTATCAGTAAATTTAAACCAAAGTAAATATTATTGTTATACACATATTTATCTTATTCTTAGAGTAAATAACTTATAATTTTTACAGTATGATAATAGCATTTCATTTACGTGAATTCCGTATTTTCTGACATGTTGCTTAGCGGGCTGATATTAAAAATTTATCAACTGCTTCCGGCTATTATCCCATGCCTTTCCATAAAGTTATTGAATGGAATTCCAACGCGTACTCGGCAAATTCCGTTAAATACACCTCAATGGTACGTTTTCAGTGAAAAACTAACAAAGTAGGATACAAAACAAATATTAGGAAACAGAAAATTATATTATGCAAAATGCAAAACAAATTATACAATAAATGCATTTTTCAAAGTTTCCAGCATAATTTAGCAAGTTACTTTACAAATGTTGACTTTTCCAAACAGTGTTCATTATGTTTTGTTGATTTTTGTCAATATAAAAATATATTATACAGTTCTTTTTCTCCTCTGTTGAGGCATATGATAGAAAGATTTCATATCGGATGTATCACATTTGGCGTCCGTCGTTCGTAAACTTTTCACTTTTTGAGAACCACTTAACAGGATCATTCTTTAAAAAATCATGTGTCTAAGACTAACATATCAATCAGTACACATCTAACATCCAATGGATTTAGTGTAAAGACGTTATTAACATTCAGAGAAAAACATGACCTTATGCAATGCAAAAATATAGGTATCGGCAGATTTTAGAACCATGAATATACTATCAGATTATTACATGTCATTTTTCATATCAGATGTATTATCAGCCCTCGCTAAATATCAGCCCTCGAGTCTTCGGTTCTTGGGTTGATATTGAACCTTGGGCTGATAATACATCTGATAAGAATCTTGGGCTGATATTGAACCTTAGGCTGATAATATATCTGATATGAAAAATGTCATGTAATAATCTGATAGTATATTCATGGTTCTAAAATCTGCCGATACCTATATTTTGCATTGCCAAATATTGTTGCGGTATATCATATTTGTTTTTCGTTCATTGTTTTGTACATAAATCAGCCCTTCATTATTTATGAAGATGTAACAAAGTGTAGAATGAATACTTTTTAAGATATCGGGTGCATGAATTTAGACGTTCTATATGATGATGCGACGTAGGCAATATCTGAAGTAACGAATTCAAAACGATCATTACTAGCATAAAAACAATACGGGTGTCACATGGGGCCAGCATTTGTTTAGCCTTTCGCAGGGTTTTTGGTTGGGTTAATGTTGCTCAGTCTTAAGTTTTTTGTGTAGTGTTTTGTAGACGTTTGTATGTCTTTGTATCGTTTTTTGTTTTTCCCCTCGCATGTTTTGTCAGTCTATGTTCGACATATATGTTTTGATTTTCCTTTCTTATGTTATGATTTTTGTTTGTTTTACTATACACGTTAACGTTTATTTTTCATAATCTCATACTTCACATTATGATCATATTTGGTCGCAAAATTTTGTACTTACTTTTGCTTGACTTCATTCCTTCAATTTTTGTGTGGCAGTTCACTATAAATGAATGAGAACAAAATATAAGAGTGATTTTCAAAAGCAACGATGCGCAGAAGATACTAACACAGTACACCAAAATTAGATTATTAAGTTTAATATTGTTACACATGTTCTTGCCTAATATGACCAGGCCCTTAAATCTGAATGTAAACAAGTGTTCATAACGACAGGTGCCACGAGTGCCACCTGTGTAGCAGGATCGGCTTACCCTTCCGGACCACTTAGGATCCACCCGGCTATTTTTTTTGGGGGGGGGGGGGGAGGGGAGAGGGGGGGGGCGTTGCTCAGTCTTTAGTTTTCTATGATGTGTTTTGTGAAATGTTTGTCATTTGGTTGGTTTTTTTTCTTTTCGACTTGATAAACTTTATATAGATAAGGTCTCACTGAATCACATTAACGGTACCAATGCAACTGCATCAGATGCGCATTTCGACTATAAATGTCTCTTCAGTGGTGCTCAAGGTCAAATTCTTTGAAAATCCAAAACTTATTAAAACATTGGAGAGCTGATAAAAATAAACAAGACAAAAAGAATAGCTAAAGTCGGCCAGAAATCAGAGTTTTGCATGAGGGAGATATATTCCCTGTTTGCAAACATTCTGTAACAGCAAATGTTTATATCCGTCGGTTTTCCAATTGGTTCTAATTGTGCAACCCTACTGTCGGACTTCTTTCATAGGAACAGAATTCAGATGATATTTTTTGAGAGACAAAAAGAAAAAACCTGTCATGCAAAATTCGAACTAAAATTTATAACAAACGTAATGATTTCAACTTTCCAACTGTTACCTAGTTCTAGGCAGTTAAATAACCTCTTCCCAAACATCCGTTACCATATCTTAATTGATACATTACGTGTATACATGTTCACAATATACAGACGTCATCAGAAGGAGTGTGCACGAGACACAAAAATGATCGAACAGAGTTATGAGGAAACAATGACTGAAATAGACACTACATAAGTTTTAATGTCATCATCATTAATTGGTTGACCGTTACAAAAAGTAATATAAACCCCTTTGCAATATGTGTTCGAAGTTTAGATATGTTTTGACTGACAGAAGACGCTACTCTGTCGACGCACAGGGTCAGCACCTTCTCGAATTCATATGATTCCCTCAACTTTTGTTAATTACCTTGATTTGTCTCCTCATTAGATCGATAATATCTAAATATCGCTTAACTTGGGTCGCCTAAATGTCAGTCGATATAAAAATAAAATATGGTATGATTTCCAGTTAAACAACTCTCTTCTAGAGACCAACTGACATAGACGTTAACAACTATAGGTCATCGTACGGCCTTCAACAAAGAGCAAAATCCATACCGCAAAGTACATTATAAAATGTCCCGAAATTAAAAATGTAAGACAATTTAAACGAAAAATCTATCGGCCTGATTTATGCACAAAACAATGAACGAAAAACTAATATGGTATACAGTAACAAACGACAGCCACTGAATTACAGGCTCCTGACTTGGGACTTTTACATACAAATACTGGAGGGGTTAAATTTAGCGCCTAACCATTCGCTTAATCAGGGACAGTGGTGTTACAGTACAATATAAGAATAAACTATAAAAATCAGTTGAAAATGGCTTAACTCATCAGATATATACAAAGCACAAAACAACATAACAAAAACACAAAAGACACAAAGAACAGATTTGAGAGTACTCTTTGTGCAATGCCAAAATATAGGTATCGACAGATTGTAGGACCGTGAACGTACATATGTGTATAACAATAATATTTAGTTGTTCAAGCATTTTATGTATTAGTGGAAAATGTAAAAACAATATTTTCTTAGTTTTTAAAGATTGGATTGGTTGCTATTGAAGGTTGTAGAATAGATTTTTCATAACCTTTCAGAATCTAGATCTGATCGACACTGAGTTCATTAGAAAATTACCCAACCACAACAAAAATATGCTTTAAACTCTAATCAAGCAAATCATACTTTATTTTTCTTAAACTGTAAATACCTTTTTCAGCGTAAAATGGCTTTAAGGAATATCAGGAACATTTTTCATTTAAAGGTAAACTATGTAAATCGAGACACATATTTCTTTATCTTTCTTCTTGACGATAAAGTTAATTTCGTCGTCTGAAATCGCTTTGCTTCATTTCGAAAAATACTTATGGACAATTTTTGTGAAAGTTTAAAAAAACATAAAATTGAATCTCACTGACATGTATCAACATAATATACATATGCTTATTTGGATAAGAACTACCGGTTTTTTCATTAAAGTATTTGGATATGCATTGAAAAACTGTATTGCTTTTCAAAACACGAAAATGCAAATTGATATATTCACACGTAATCTATTGCATTTCAGAGATGGATAAAATGTTGCCAAACCTTGTATTGTGTCCCGTTACTGATTTGCACTTTATTACTTTTTATGCATATATTGAAAGTATATCAAAGTAAGTAGTTTTATTCTAAGAGACTTTTTTGTTCGGTTCTAAGTTTACAGAATTTTAAAATAAATGAAGTAACAGTTAGACCATATGGTTGTTATATGAAGGATCAAAAGTAATACACATATTGAATCTACATTATAGGTATCCATATTACATATCGTATTGTAAAAACTAGCCATTATCAGTCCTGTTTAAGCATCATATACTATCATATACTATAAAATAGCGTGAACACATTAATGCTATATGACCAAAACAAGCCAACAATAAAGTGTATTGAAATTTTGTTATAAGTAAGGTATGAAGTAGTGCACTGAAAAAAAAGATGTGAATAGCGACAAATGTAGAAATTGAATAAACTTATTAGGTTGGTCCCACCATTTAATCCGATATAGCAATTTCAGAAACGTAATAAAAAAAAACTAGGTAACATCATATACATGACATGCATACGGATTACATCGACGCGTATACCATCAGGAAATGGCATACAAGGCTAACATGGATAACATACAATAACATCAGCAATACCTTACAGAAAATATTTACAGGAGAGAAACAATGAGAAAAATTTCCATTTAAATCTTTGATAAATCATAATCATTTTAGCCAGTTATCTGTTGTTTAATACATATAAATATGATAACAAGTAATTTAAATAACAAAAAATCCAAAACAATCTTCCCAATGTACATCAATTGATACATCAGTATTGTAAGAAATGATTCATTATATTCAACATTATTGAATCTTATATATCTCTATTACCAGGTCCAAAAGGGTCTGTTGTAATCAGTATCAGACGTAAATATCTGGTTCATGATGCCGGTAAAAAGAGGCTGACGATAGACAAATTAAGAAAACCCAATGTATTTGATAAATTACCCGAATGCATGCCTCTAATCTATACATCCCTCGTCTTCATATGCGATATTAGAATCGTAACAAATCATTTCTGATATTGAGAAAAGCATACCCAGTTATATATTGTTCAGGCTGGTATCTGGTTGAAATTAAAAGAAAGCGATGTAACTGGATCAGAGAAGGTTAAAATGGCCCAGTTGGTACATTTGGGTTGTTGACGTCTGTTTCTGTGGCCTTTAAAAGTTTAATGTAGGTACATATTTAGGATTTTGTCTATCTCATAAACTTGTTATATACAGTACGGAGCGTAGATATATTTGTACAACTTTTGAATTAAACACAGATTTTCACAAAAAAGACGATTTCGGCAGTTGCAAATACATATGGATCTTTATAATGCATAAGCATAAATTTCACTGCAAAGCAAATCATAGAAAGATAAAAGAAGGGATTAATTGTATGGGGAAAGAAATTCTAAAGTGGGCAATATTCTTATCTTAATAAGAAAGTCGGGTACACTATTTTACGTTCAGACGTGTTTGAAATTAATGTTGTGTTCTAAAAATGTACTTAACACAAATATTGAGATATAACCTCGCTTCAAGTTTCATTATTTTAATTATGAAGGGCTACGTGTTAATATAATAACATTTATGATTCGCAGTAACCAAATTTATATAAATGATCAAGTGAATTACCTTTGTAATGAGTCATGAGTGTGTTTGAATAACAAAAAACAAAAGTTTCGTCCTATTACAAATATTTATATATATATATAACTTTCAGTGTATATCGGTACATTTTAAAAATTTATGTTAACTCATTTAAAAAAAAAAATTAGACATATTGATTGATTTATTCGTAAAATGTACTAAAACAGAATAGTCGGACACACCGTTCACTAAAACCGCCTTGAATTTTTTACCAAAAGCCTGTGACAACAAACTTTATTTTTTAATCTTAAAAATGCATAACTTATCTTCTTTTCTTTTTTTGTGTTAATTATCTAGGGCAATATTTTTCAAACTTTGGAAATTTCTAGTCTGCTCTACCACGAAATATCAAAATAGATGTTTTTAGTGTTTTATTGAACTTTATCCCTGACAATCAATCAGACAATAATTTTAGATTGACAAAAGGTCTAAAAGTAAAGTAAATGATGTTTAATAGCTAGTAGATACATTGGTTTCTTACAGTGCATCTTCTCAGGATTGGCATGATACCATGTCAACATATGTATCGGTTTTCAAGAGCAAATTTGACATATTGAAAAATCTCTTTTATCTGAGAAGTAAATTTGTACAAAATCGAGTCTTACATACGGATAGACACTCATAGTTCTATGTATCCCTTCCACAACCCGAGGTAGGAACTGTAAATTACAATGAAAATGACATTAAACATGGAAACGTGATGGCAAAGCCTGTGAAAATTTGGCACAATATAACTAATACAAATATCTATAATTTTTTTTCATTTCGAAAAATACTTACGGAATGTATCCCTTGCAGTATGACTTGCTGTCAACACTACCTGGACCTGTATCTTTTTTTTTATATATTCTGGTACTAACGATTATGTCGACATTAAAAAAGAGTGGCATTATGTTTTGGCTTTTATTAAAAATCCTATATCGGATTAGGAAACCCGCAGTCAATATACGTGTACCTCCGGAAGGATTTTTTTTATCAATAAAAATAAACAATTTTCAAATTGAAAGTGTCATTCCGCTCTGAGGAGAATGAACAATACATTCGTTAGTCATGTTGAGTTTTTTTAGACAATTGCTAGAATTATCCATCGTGATAAGTTCAGTACTGTTCAGACAATTCGAGTGCAGTCAGTTAAGATCTGTTCCGTCTATGTTGTGAATGTTCAATAGTTATTATCTAAGCAGAAGAGGGACGAAAGATACCAGAGGGACAGTCAAACTCATAGATCGAAAACAAACTGACAACGCCATGGCCAAAAATAAAAACACAAACAGACAAATAATAGTACAGATGATACAACATAGAAAACTAAAGACAAAGCAACACGAACCCCACCAAAAACTGGGGGTGATCTCAGGTGGTCCGGAAGGGTAAGCAGATCCTGCTCCACATGTGGCACCCGTCGTGTTGCTTATGTTATTACAAATCCGGTAAATAGTCTAATTCGGTATGTCACATTCGTGAAAAGAAACTGCTATCGATGACATGACGTTGTACAGCTTTTCGACTAAATGTGAGTGTGACTATTCCTTTTGTATCTTTAATAGGGTTTGCAAACGGTACTTATATCAATATCATCACAGATGACTGATACAACGCAACTGCTATTGATTGTATTACGCATATAATTGACTTGTATTTTAATATAAGCAAAATATGCTGAAAACTAAAAGTACTGATTTTGTTATTATAAAACACCCATGCAACCACGCATACTATAATGCCTGATAAGACCCGAAACTATTCTACTATTTTGGCAGTTAAAGCCTAAAATGGTCATCTTAAGATGTATGACTTTAATATAATCAAATATGAAATTTCTTCATGTGTATATTGATACATTTATATTTAAATTCATCATCAGTAGATATTATGACAGATTTGCCATCATCAGGGGTCCAACTGTCAATTTTATGTTATAGTCTTAGATCTAGTAAGCATGTCTCCTTCACTTTGTTATAATACAACACCCATGCAACCACGCATCCCATAGTGTCGGGTCCTATCAGGTATTATGGGATTTGTGGTTGCATGTGTGTTTTATAATAACAAAATAATGCACTTTCGTACAATCTTGGCTTTTTTATTGTAAATAAAACCACTGCTTTGTTCATTTTAAAATTCTTATTTATATAGAACTAGATCACAGATTAATATGTAGGTTTCTTTGTGTTTGACAATCAATTGTATTGGTCTGCATTAAACATAATAATTATTTAGAAAATAAAAAAAATACGTCATATTTTTTCAAATACTTTTTAATCTAAAATGGTAACATTTTACACCCACCAATATACCCGCTTTACTATCAGAAATTGTCGTTTATATGAAAGTTGTTATAGCTATTCAGGTTTCAGGGAGATATGTAATGTGATATTTCCAATTCAATATTTTTATTCCCTATATATATACCCTAAGCCCGTAATATCGCATTATATTCCATGTTTGAAACCATAACTATACTTCTATTAATGATTACTCTTGCCTTAAGATATATATTTTAGTGCTAGGTATTTGTTGAAAATTTCTGTGTTAGTTATCTTTTAATGTATTTCGACTACCAGAATTATTGATGAACCATACCTTTTATGTTTTCGCATACGTGAAACATTTTGTAATTTGCAGTGAAATAATTTTACGTAAAGTCCATACTTTAGAACAATACATTCAGCCAAAACTTAATTATTTTGTGTGCAAATAGCATGATTTTAAATTCAAAAGAACCATTGACAAATAATGTTCATGTGTTACCCTGAAGAAGTCTTTGAGTTGGTTGACAGTTATCACCCCCCAGTTTTTGGTGGGGTTCGTCTTGCTCAGTCTTTAGTTTTCTGTGTTGTGTTTTGTGTACTGTTGTTTGTCTGTTTGTCTTTTTCTTTTTCAACCATGGCATTGTCAGTTTATTTTCGACTTATTGGTTTGAATGTCCATTTGGTATGTTTCGCCTCTCTTTCACATTCCTTTACTGTTATGTGCCTATTTGGGTAACAAAACGCCTTATAATCCATTACTGATTCCGGAATATGCGCTGCCAACCCTGTGAAGTTATCAATCAGTAGCTTTTAGCTGTGAACGATGTACAAGTATACAGCCATGTCTGGTCCGAATGGGGACGTTAAATCCGTTGCCATTGCTCTCTGCACGGAAAGTATCTTTGTTACAACTCTTTGATGGATCCATAGATGGCATGTTGCTAGTCAAATTCTGTTCCTATCCGATATACTCTCATTTTCCAGTGGCAGTCCAAATTTACTCGACCTTCATCTCGGACAGGCTCTATCACTGGACCTACCTATTTTATGTATTGTTAAAGTTCCGTCGTCTGAATTTAAAACATTTCTAATCTATCTAGATGGCTAGATCAGAGGCAAGTCAAAATGTAAGCTTGGTTTCCTCGCAGTGCGATGCAACAATTAGTAAAGATTACAAAAAACATATTAAACATCTCCGAACAAACACACATATAGCTCTTCTACACTAAACCAATATAATATAATGTAAACAATATACTATGCAAAACGTGTTATACTTAAAATTACTGTGATCACCTCGATACATACTATACAAGTATCGGACTTATATATGGCTAAAGAACGCCACCCGTAACACCGTCAAAGAAATATCCGTGCAGTACTAACACATAGACTTATAATTAAATACTAATCAAACTAGTTCTACAAACTAGTTCCACAGTTTCTAAAGATAGAAATAGAAAAGGGAAAATCCAACTATAACGGAATTGAAATAAATTTTATTTGTCCTCGTCCTGAACATGCATGAAATATTTGCTACCGGACGTTTAATCTCCGGCGCAGAGATCATATCCGTTCCGTTCAATACTACGTTAAGCAACCAACAATCAATCAAATAATTAAATTTTTGTTTGTAACCGTTGTATAGTTTACAAATTTCACCCTTTGAGATCCATTTATGCAATTGTCGTACAAAATCGTTAGCCTTGTATCTTTGGTGCTTTTTTTAAACATAATTGTCGTTTGCACCAAGTAAATATTTCATTTACTGGTAAATTCATATAAACTGAAATTAAGAGAAAATAAAGAAAGACTCTGTCGTATTCATAAATATCTGTGTAAATGACCCGCTCTTGCGCGGACTACTTTCTAGTAATGCATTTGCGATCCATTTTTGTACTTTCTTAAAAATATAAATAAGATATATCAACTCTGAAAAACTCAACAGCCTTTATATTTTCAATTAGTATATTGATGTAACAGTTGTCAGATGTGGACATATGATTGAAATTACCAATATATATCTTGTTTCGTTTTAAATGTTATATTATATATAATAACAAACAGCGATTTTTGGCAAAATTACAATTACCTTCCCAATACCTAGATATTGACTCCAAACCGGTCTGCCTATTTAAAAACATAAAACTGATAGAAAAGAGACGAAAGATGCCAAAGGGCAGATTCAAACTCATAAGTCGAAAATAAACTGACAACGCAATGGCAAAAAAAAGAGGACAAAAAGACAAATAACAGTACACAAAATACAACATAAAAAAATTAAAGACTGAGCAACAGGAACCCCACCAATAACCGGGGTGATCTCACGTGCTCCGGAAGGGTAAGCAGCCGTCGTGTTGGTCATGTATTTACGAATCCGGTTATATGTCTAACTCGGTAGGTCACATTTGGGGAAAAGAGGAAGAGATTGTTGTTGAAACAGATAACGGTCAACCAACTCGTGATGGCGTCCGTCAAATTAACGAAGTGATAATTTCAACTTCACCACTTGGAAATCTTGGTTTAATAGCTTCCTTGTGAGCAGCAACCCTCTATCAAGTAAATCATGATAGGACATACAAGCCCTGGAATATCGTATCAATTGGGAAATATGTACTCCATATGCAGGCGCTGTTGGAATGTTGCTACATTGAAATGGAAAGTTCACAATTGGGAAGCTAAAATCATCTCTTTTATCGTAAGGTTTTGTGTTCAAACAACCCTCATGGTCAATTTCTAGATTTCAAGATATGACGCAGACTCAAAAGAGGGACGAACGATACCAGAGGGACAGTCAACATCATAGATCGAAAACAAACTGACAACGCCAAGGCCAAAAATAAAAAGACAAACAGACAAATAATAGGACAGATGATACAACATAGAAAACTAAAGTCTAAGCAACACGAACCCCACCAAAAACTGGGGCTTAACCGTATCTGTTGTATCTTTTATCTCAAGTTCGATGGGATAGATGCGTCCAACATAGTCACAAAACTTTGAATTATTTAGTGAAAGAACATCATCTAGACTAAGCAACACGAACCCCCAGTTTTTGGTGGGGTTCGTGTTGCTTAGTCTTTAGTTTTCTATGTTGTGTCATCTGTACTTTTATTTGTCTGTTTGTCTTTTTATTTTTGGCCATGACGTTGTCAGTTTTTTTTCGATCTATGAGTTTGACTGTCCCTCTGGTATCTTTCGTCCCTCTTCTATATAGCGGAAAGTGAAGTTAAAGGATACTACTAACTTCTTTTCTTTCTTCCTAAGAAGCTCCGGTATGAAGTCAAGCCCATATGAATAAACACGTCGGTAGGAAGAACATCACAGTTGGTTCCCATGGGACTGCCAATTGTTTGTTGAAACACATAGTAATAAATATGAGAGAGAACTAAAAAAATGTTATGTTTTCGGAAGAAACATTTCTGTGCGACTTTTTCCATTTGATTTAAAATGCACTTTCAGTATGAATATATAACCTATAAATCATAAATCTATACATATCAGGGCCAATAAATGAGTATAACACTTATTCAAGTTCGTTCGTTGCGAGTGCTTTTTTGGAATGACTTTAATCAGGAACGCTCAAACAAAATATTTGAGACCCAAGAATGATAAATAATTAGAAACGTAAGAATTTTTATAACAAAAGAGAACTAAAAAGAAATAGCCAAATTCATCAATGTCAAAAATGAATTAGCTATTTTTATTGCTTTGTAAATATTTCTACCGAAGATGAAGAACTGGATCCTTCTTCACACTGTATTGGATACTTAAATTACAAATTGTTCTTACAACCAACGTCACATTGCTGTGTCTTCCAACGTAACTTCTTCACAAACTGTTGTCAATATAATCAGCAATTAAAAGCCGAGCTTCAGAATTATTGTCAAACTACTAATCTAAGGGCGGTGTGCAACAGATGTGGATGCTTAAATATTGCAAAGATCTGTTAGTATACATGCATACAATCTAAGTATCACACAAGTATCACACAAGTATTCCCCATTCAAAACTTATAGACAAACTGAATTGGTCTCACTGTGTATAAAAAAAAAACAAAAAAAATGGCCAACGTACATTTTGTAGATACATATATCTTGTTTCGGGTAGGGACAAACCAAACTTCGTATAAAACCATTCTGATTAAAACAAAAAATACTCTAGAAATAATATTATCAGGAAGCTTCATTTCTTGATTAACAACATATCTGTTACGCTGAAGGACGTGTTATTCAACAAACATTTGGCATTCTCAAAAATCCAACTGTGTTCCTCTAATTTCCATCTTGTTTCTTTTTTCATACGAGAAAGACTTTTTACAGGAGTTCCTTAGAAAGTATGAAAAGAAGCTATCCTTTATCTTCACCTTTAAATGTTTTATTTATTTGTAGCAAAATTCTATCAGCGCTTGCATATGTAGTATATATCTCCCAGTTAAGCATGTGGAGCAAGATCTTTCCCCTTCCGGAGCACTGAGATCACCCCCAATTTTTGGTGGGGTTCGTATCTGTACCCCTTAACGTCATGAACAACCAATTTGTGACTTTTTTTCAAGCCTGAAAAACATGTCATTTCCTCAGATGTGTGTTCCGAGGCGTCATAGCACTTACATCTGAGGCCCTTTGTTAATCCAAGTCCATGTCCTTTTTATAAGGTAGACCTTGAGGTATGTGACATGTACATGTAAAATGTGGCGGGTTTAACATCTTTCCAAGAGCTCAACTCTCACATGAACCTGGGACCGTGGTGTAACTACATAAGAACAAACTGAATAAATCTGTTGGAAAGGGCTCGACTCCACATATCGGCACAAAGCACAAAAATAACTGGCAAAAAGAAAAAAGAGAGTACCGAATTTTGATTTAGAGAAAATAAGAAATTAAAACTTGATAATATTGCTTATAACTGACTGTAAGATAAAAGGTATAAGTTTTCTAACAATGTTTTATTGCAAGAAACTGTAAGTTCCTATTTACATAGTTCAACACGCATTCATTTTCCTTAACTGCAGTCTGGTATTTGATTAAATCGAACATAAAAGTCGTATAGATATGTTTGACAACAAAACGCGGTCCGCGAGGACGTTTGAATAATTCTGACGTCAACACATAGAATAGGGCCCATATTTTAGAAAAAAAGGGCATAGATTTGTGAATATTGAATAGGACACAAATGTGAGGATAGAACATAGCTGATAAATAGCGTAGAATTAGAATGAACCTTTTCTGTTGTCTCTTTTTTAAATTGTGCACTCGAAATGGTAATTCGATGAAAAGTTTGAACCACATTGCCTGCTTTTTAAATAACTTTTAAAAGATTAATATTACATGCTTTACTTACAAATTAAACCAATCATTCGATTTTGATGCACAGGTTTAATATATCGCTATAATCAACTACATTTTTTTTCAGATTTCCAGAATTATTTGTCAGTAAAGGTTATGGGTCGTGGAAATATCAATGATCATGAAAAGGAAGGCGAATTGACATTAATAACAGCTTATTTCAACATCGGATCGTTCAAAAAAGGTCCACATCTTATATATTCACCAAGCAGATATTATACTTGGATGAAAAATTTTCGGTCTGTGAACAATTGTGTCATCCTTTATACGGACGTAATTGATTTATCGGTGCAATTTGAATTATATCGTGCACATTTTCCAAAACATATGACTAAGGTATTTATAGTGAATCAAACAAGTCTTTGGGCTTTTCAATTAAAAGCAAGAATCGAAGAGATTTATAACCAACCGGGGTATCCGAAATATTATCCAAATGTAGGTGTGCCTGCTTATTCATCTGCAATGCATGCTAAGTATGAATTAATGGAACAAGTAATAAAAGAAAAGTTATTTAGGACGAAATATATTGCATGGATCGATATAGGCTATTTTAGAAAGAAAGAACCCGGTTGTTTTAAAATGGAAACTCCTAAGGATATTAGAGATGATCATATTTTATTTTCGCAAGTAGATTTTTTCAAACATCAGCTCAATCTGACAGAAATTATATATACAAGTAGATTATATATAGCTTGCGGTTTTTTCATTGGAAGACCGGACAATCTTATGTTGTTCATTGAGGATTATAAGTCTGCCGTTGAACGCTTGCTTGAAATGAATCTAATGAACTCTGATCAGCAAGTGTTGTATATATTGTATTCATTAAAACTATCCTTTCATCCTAGGATACCAATTCAAACTTTTTTTAACCCAATGAGTTTGAAAAAAGGAAGAAACGATCGATGGTTTTTTCTTGGTAAACTCTGTCAGAGGTTTATAAAATTAAATGACAGTGTAGACACATGTATCGCTTAATAATATTTAATATATCTTTACCTGTTCAGTTCATTTACTTGGTTTTGAATGTATGCAAACAATTACAATAATTATTGTTGTTACTTTCATAATTACAAATATCAGTTGCAAGGGATTCTTGCATCCTGTGTGGAGTTCTTACTGTCCAACGCTTGCAACACGTACAAAGAGAACTTTTCCCTGAATGTGACCTACCGAATTAGACTTATTACCTGGTTTGAACTAGCATGAGCAACACGACGGGTGCCACATGTGCAGCAGGATCTGCTTACCCTTCCGGAGCACCTGAGATCACCCCTAGTTTTTGGTGGGGTTCGTGTTGCTCAGTATTTGTTTTTTTATGTTGTGTTTTATGTGCTGTTGTTTGTTTGTCTTTTTCTTTTTTAGCCATGGCGTTGTCAGTTTATTTTCTACTTATGAGTTTAAATGTCCCTTTGGTATCCTTTGCCTCTCTTTTACATACACAGTGTATCGAAGGGCAGTGTATCTATTAAAAGAAAATTAAGATGACAGAAGAAATGCTGGAAAGTAAACATTACAGACTGAGGACACACAATCGGTTGGATTAAGGTAGATCGGTGATCTCGCCATCTTGTATTATAAAAGAGCAGAACACAATCAGTCTAGATCTTAAATAAAATATGCAAATTTTGAGAGAGGAATGTAATTTATTTGTTTAACTTTTCATTACATGAAGAAAACTACGTGTTAAAATAATAAAATTAACGGTACCAATTTTTCTGCACCAGATGCACATTTCTACAATAAATGTCTCTTCAGTGATCCTCGAGTCCAAAAAAAACTCCAAAGCTTATTAAAAAATGAAAATTGTATTATAACGACTGTTTTTAGAAATTAATGATTTCCTTTATTTATATTTTCTAATTTGCCATACAAGGAGAGATAACTCTGATAACTTAACGTTTATACGGAAATGTGTACTAAATTGACTTATTTTGTTTGTTTAACAAGAAAATGAGTCCTGTGACCCAATTTTATGATTATTTTCTGAAAGCAAATTCTAAAGGCTATTTTTTTTTTAGTTTTTTCGTCTGCATTCAACATGCTTACCCTAGTTCATCCGGTTTGTATCCGAGTAAATTACAAAACACAATATGCTTATTACGACAGGGATAACATTTATTCACCAAATTTGCATTAAACATGAACATAAAACAATGAGTCTTTACCATTTCATTTACAATACAATATAAGGCACCAATGAAAAAATGGAATTATCTTGAATGGTAGCTACCCCTCTCGAGTATTATTCATCTGCAATTCTGATCATTAATGTAGGTTAAGGTCATTTTAGTTTAGAGTCAATTGTTTATAATATAACATGATGCGTCATTTGCCATTTCTGTATGATTTGTAGTTGCTTCGATCCTGGTTTTAATGTAAAACTTAACTGAAGCCATTTATAGGACAATTGAAAGTCAAAATTACCTAATTTACTGTTGACCTTCATCAATACATGACATGACTAATAATAGTTTCTATCTAATAAGTAGCTCCTAAAATCTGGAAATTTATGCAGAACTTAACTCAAGTCTTTCTGGGGTAAAATGAAGTCAGGGTCAACTGAGTTTCATATGAAAAATATTGCTCACACATCAATTTATTTTCAGCCTCTTAAATGTAAATATGCCAATGACAATGAATGAAAGCAAACCTTATTTCCTATTGCGTTCGAATGCAAGTTTCCAAACTTTAAGGATGTTCGCTACTCTGTTTCAAAATAACAAGCTTTTAAAAAGACTATTATATATTGATAGTATGAAAATAAAGAAACGAAAAAAGCAAAAAAAAAAAAATATGGGTCAGTGTGCTCGTTTTCGAGATATAAGCCATTGAAAATTTGGCGGGAAATAATTCTCTCTAGACTTTTAATATATTTAACATTGACACCTTTTTTCTTTCAAAACCGATTAAAAAATAACAAGGATTTTATAAGATTTTCAAAGAAGATACTTTAAACTATGTTTAATCAAATAATGGAAAGAAAAGTAGGGGTTAATGGGCAAATTTTTTTAATGGCACTACATGGATAAAACCAGAGGATTCCGAATATCTGGCAAAAATTCAAAAACATGAGGAGCGAACTTCCTTAAAGCTATAAAAGCAAAGGTGTAAAGCAAACAGAAACCTTTCTTTATTTCCAGTAATATGAAACAACAACTGTAGATCGTAAGATATATCTAAGGTGTTTATTGTTTGTAAAAAACAAATTAATCTCGCACTTTAAAATGTGACCTGTAGAACAAGAACTGTTTAACCTTCCTGAGCACATGAGTTCACTGTGGTGGGGTTCGTGTTGCTCTGTCTTTTGTTTTCTATGTATTATTTTGTTATTGTATGTTTTTTGTTGTTACTATTTTTGGCCATGATATTGCCTGTTGCGATTGGAATTCAATACGCACCCTTGGTATCTTCTATGTATTTTTTGAAATTTTCATTGCATTATTTGTATGCAGCATTACCTGAAATCTTATATATTAATTTATCATATTTATTCATTGCTGAACAATCGCAATAAAAAGTACAATCAGATAATTAAAAATTAGCAGTACTTAGTTTTGAATAGAACCAGGTCTATGATTTCCGTGTCAATTTCATGAACAATTTACACCACACTGAACTGCATTCATTACATATGAATATAAAACAACACAATGACCTTTGGATTATCAGTTTGTTTCTGACAGAGTTAAATTAAGAAGTTCTTTGTATGGTCATGGTCTGAATGTTATGACATGAATATGGAACATCATTAACCTAGGTCATGCTGTCATTTTTAAATATTTAAAACTTACAAAAATATGATCAACCTTTGTGCAAGTCGCTATCAGTCTACCAACAATGTTTTGCATAAATAGAAATATAAGAAGTTGTGGTAAGATTGCCAATGAGACAATTATCCATCAAACCAAAATGAAATGGATAAAAGCAGCTATAGGCAACCATACGGCCTTCAACAATGAGAAAAACCCATATCGTATAGTCGGTTATAAGATGCCCCGACATAAAAAATTGTGAAACAATTCAATTGAGAATACTAACGGTCTAATTTATAACAAAATAATTTCATGAAAAACAAATATGACAAAAATTAACCAACGACGATCACTGAACTACAGGCCTCTGACTTGGGACAGGTAGATAAAGAAAGTGACGAGCTAAACATGTATGTGAGCGGTCTTCCCTCCCCTAACCTTAAGTATTCTTCAGATCCCCGTGCATCAACATGAATTTTCATTTACATTTCATTTCTTCTTATTATAAAACTACATTTAACCATGAGCAAAACGGACAAACATACTTGGAAACTGTATGCCCCTCACGTCTATAAAAGATGAAAACAACTCTTTATATATTTCATGCATCATGATAGCAGAATCAAATAGACCACAAAAGACCAGGTAAACCAATAAATAAAAGCCAACCATAATATTTAAGAGAATAATGTTCTTGAACAGCATACATTCAAGAGGAATTCCTGTTTGTACGCAATACACATTTTATTCCTAAGTGTCTCTATTTCAAACAGGAATTTAACCCAATAAACCCGCAGTATGGGACCCTTTCAAACTGATGCTGTTTTGTCAATGATGCACAATACCCTTCTGTAAAAATAAATCATTATTCTAAATTAAGGCGACAGTAGTTTACCGATGTTCAAACCTCCTTAATCGAGGGCCTTGACAGGTTGTGCTGAATACGGAGCTGGTGATACCTGTGAAACATAAATAATGTTTCAATACATTTTCATTTATATCATGAAGTTAGGTATAGTTTTTTTACTTAATTTGAATAAAAAATCTCTCATGCAGAAAACAATAATTATTTTGCCTGAATGTATTGTGGAAAACATTGTTCTACCTTACACCGGTATATGTATCTTTTATTGTTGAACAGTATACATTTATAATATAGTATGTTGCCAAAAATCATCTTACGTTATAAAAAGTAAGTACTAAATTTAAAATCGTTTAAATATAAAAAGTAAGATGGGGTATGACAACTATTTTCAAGGTTAACATGTTTGCGAGCTCAACCCTACTTAGAACCTTGAACATTAGTACAACATGAACAAACTGTAGAAATAATATCGATACGAAGGACACAAACAAAAACAACTAACAAAAAGACAAAAGACATAAACTAGAAATCAATGAGTACTCGTAGTTGGTGAACGTAAGCGCAAGGTCAATCATAACTAAATATAATAAATAAATTATGTTTTCCCAGACAAAAAATCTATATAAATATCAACGTGGTGATCTTAAATTTCAAGTTGAAATATAAATATGAATTTCGCGTTGATATTTGTTTTGCCATATAAATGATAAATTAGGAAATATTGCAATTTTAATCTTTAACCTTGAATATGCTTATGTAAATAGTAGTGATAAGTTTAAAAATAAAAATGTAAAAAGCTAACAACAGGGAACTATAAGATGAAGTAGTTTTTACTTAAATTCGTTTATAAACTAACATCGAAACATGGTACAATTATCTATACTTTCAAGATGTTGGGGATTTTTTTTCTAATGTGGGGCTTTTAACTTTCTTTCCAAAATCTATATACAACTTTTATTTCTCGCATAAGTCAGAGTTAGATTGCTTTCACCTATCAATTAATTTTTCCTAAAGAAAAATGATAAGATTCATAGGACGTCAATATATTTGAAAGTGTTTCGTCAGCCTTTTTTTCCTTTATGAACTGGCTAAGGACGTACATTAAAACGTATCTTAAATGTACGTGCTTTTCACCAAACAATCGACATTCCCATGGGAACCAACAGTGCTCCTCTTCTTACCGACTTGTTCCTTTATTCATTTAAGGTTGACTTCATACAGAAACTTTTTAGCAAGAAAGAAAAGAAGTTAGCAATATCCTTTAACCTCACTTTCTGCTATATAGATAATGTTCTCTCACTAAATAATTCGAACTTGATATCAAGGATACAACAGATACAATTAGGTCGGCCTTATAGCTTGACTTACATCTAGAAATTGACAATGATGGTAGGTACGACAAAAGAGATGATTTCAGCATCCCAATTGTGAACTTCCCATTTCTATGTAGCAACATTCCAGCAGCACGTGCATACGGAGTATATATATCCCAGTTAATACGCTATTCCAGGGCTTGTATTTCCTACCATGATTACCCTGATAGAAGGTTGCTGCTCTCAAGGAAGCTATTAAACCAAGAGTTTCAAGTGGTGAAGTTAAAATCGTCCCCTTCGTAAATTTCACGGACGCCAGCACGAGTTGGTCGACCGTTATGAAATATCCGTTTCACAAATGACAACGGATATGTTCTGATTGTCGTAACTACATCCCGTCCACTTTTCCCCGAATGTGGCCTACCGAATAAGACATATCACCGGGTTTGTACTAACATGAGCAACACGACGGGTGCCACATGTGCAGCAGGATCTACTTACCCTTCCGGAGCACATGAGATCACACCCAATTTTGGTGGGGTCGTGTTGCTCAATATTTGGTTTTTGTGTACTGTTGTTTGTTTGTCTTTTTCTTTTTAGCCATGGTGTTGTCAGTATGTTTTCGACTTGCGAGTTTGAATGTCCATTGTTAAAGTATTTTTTTTATTACAATAGGAAAAATGTACCTTAGTTCTTCTTTTGATTATACCTTGTTAAAATACTTTTGCAAATGCTCATTTCTCGCAATATATTTCTAACTTGTTTTATTTTGTTGTAATAAGATAATTATCTACGATACTTCATTTTGGCAGAATCGGATTTCATCAGAAAACATTGTAAATCAAATGACACATTTTCCTCTCATAATTCTGGCGGATCTGAAATTTTACGGAACTATATTAAATAATAGTCCATTAATAAAGGCGCAAAATTGAAAAAAATTCGCAAATAGCTGTCAATTTTGTACACTTTTGTCAAAATAAGCTCAAATACATCGTATTATTGCCTTGCAAGTCCACAGTTCAACTGATATGAATCCGATGTCATGCAACCTTTAATTATACCCCGGGTTACGCATGTGTTAACCGTGTTCAGTTATGAAAAAGGTAGGAATGTCAACATTTAAAAGTTAAAAAAAAGTAGCTACCAGGAAAAACCAATTAGTTGACTAGGTCTAAAATACGCACGTAATGCTTATACATTATAAAAAGTTCATGCATTGTAAATTGTTTCTGTTATGTTTTGGACTTTTTGTAATTTGAATATACGTCTTATATAGATATAAGAAGATGTGGTATGAGTGCCAATGAGACAACTCTCCATCCAAGTCAAATTTATAAAAGTAAACCATTATAGTTCAAAATACGGACTTCAATACGGAGCCTTGGCTCACACCGAACAGCAAGCTATAAAGGACCCCAAAAATTACTAGTGTAAAACCATTCAAAGGGGAAAACCAACGGTCTAATCTATATAAAAAACGAGAAACGAGAAACACTTATGAACCACATCAACAAACGACAACTACTGAACATCAGATTCCTGACTTAGGACAGGTGCAAACAATTGCAGTGGGTTTAAACGTTTTAATGGTACCAAACCTTCACCCTTATCTGAAACAATAGTGTAACGGTATGTTATAAATTAAGTTGAATTGGTGATCATGAATTTGACAGCTAATGCTCCTTTAATGGAATCCATTGATAGTTTCACTACCAAAACTTGAGATGTTCGTTTCTTTTAGATTTGCTTTTGCAGATTTATTTTATTTTTTGGATTACTTCTGTTTGTTTTGTCAAGAAGAACGTGTTGACTGTGTAACTGTGTGGATAATTATATTTTTACAAACGCAACCCTATGTCTCTAAATAAAAGGTTTTGTTTTTGATGTTGTAGACCTTTTTAATAATTATTATTATCATAAGCGTGGTCAGTTGCAACAAACAACTGTTCAACAATATTGTGAAGTCTTCAGTATTAATAAATCAGTTCTTGCTAGCCTGTGTTGACACGTTATTGACAGAACTACTGCCCTCAATGGCATATGATGGTCTCATGAAATCTGAAAATAAAACCATTCTATACAGACGCTTTTCTTTGAGCGTCTAATTTACTGACGTTTCTCTTCGTTTTTGCGTGCATTTATTATACAGATTATTGAAAAATGCACAAAAAGGCAAGTTTAATTATTACGATTTCAGAAAAATTATGTTTTTATTTTTTGAAACTTGTCCCGTCGAGGTTTTCGTAATTAAAGGAAACATCGCAAACATTTCTGATTTTACAGTAACTTATATTTTATTTGTGCAGATACATTGCTTATGAATTTTTTTCCATCTATTTATCTTATTTCAAAATATTGGTGCTTGGTTAACCTTCATAATGTTATTTCTAAATTGAACAATTAAGAAAGATAATTTGCTGAATTCATCAAACAAAAAACAATATTAAAAAGTGCCATACTATCCATATCTAATTGTCATATACACAATAATGATACGATATAGTTATTACGGTAAATGCTACATAGTTAAATAATAATACCTACACCAAACGATATTATGTACTCTGAAAGATACGAAGTACTCTCAACGATACAGTATACTCTAAACGATACAATGTACTCTAAACGATACCACAGACGCTGAACCATGCATCTTTACAACAGCAACAATATGTTTCTAAATAAAAGCGATTGATTTGGAAGTATTCGAATTTTGAATTATTATATTTTGTAAGAAGGTGGACAGTTTAGAACTTATTAAGGCTTCAGCTTCAATTTCCAAGTTCTTGCCAGTCTGTGTTCATATGTTTTTGTCCGAATTACGTACCTTACTTGCAAACAGCGGCCAATTGAATACTAAAAATATCTATACAGACACTCTCGTATGAGCGTCTATTTTGTTAATAGTGCTAGAGTTTCTTATTTACAACATATTGTTTTTGAATTCGGAGATAGACTTTTCAACAAATTGTCGGCATTCATATGGAACGAACTGTGCACCACTCCTTGTCAAACTCTTCTTATTTTCATATGAGTCGGAGTTCCTTCAGACACCTGTCAAAAACAAGAAGATCACAGAATCCAGATCATTTAACTTCACATTCAGATATATTGATGATGTTCTTTCCATTAATCCGAACTTTCTATTACGTAATTTAAGCAGTTTATGAGTTTCACTTGCTTATTAAAGTGTAAAAACAATTAACGAGCGTATGAATTTAAACACACAAAACGAATATGTGCACGCCCAAATGGTTATAGTTATAGAGTTATGCTTTAAGTGACCCTTGTGTTTTATTTCATGATGTTCAATTCTCAGGGGACAGTTATGAATATCTGTCTCACAGATGACGACATTTATGTTCCAATTGTCGTCACTACAATCCCGTCCTCTTTCCCCCGCATGTGACCTACTGAATAAGATTTTATCACCGGGTTTGTACTTACATGAGCAACACGACGGGTGCCACATGTGGATCCTTTCGGAGCACCTGGTATCACCTGGTTTTGGTGGTGTTTGTGTTGCTCAGTCTTTAATTTTCTATGTTGTGTACTGTTGTCTGTTTGTCTTTTTCCTTTTTTTAGCCATGGCGTTGTCAGTTTATTTTCGACTAATTAGTTTGAATGTCTTTTTAGTATCTTTCGCCTCTCTTTTTGTATGCGAGGTATGTGTGGACATTAATTCTTTACTTTTAGATATTTTTTCAGTTTGATATCCTTTTAAACAGTAATCAAAATATATTCATGAATTCTTTTTTCAGGCATATATGTTCCTTTATTTGTGTCTCATTCTTAGTTCGATATCTCATAAACAGACAGAAGGAAAAAGAATACGTTCAACTGAATTATAATCACAGAAACTTAAAGCACAGTATAAATGAAATACGATTGGCAGGTCAATCTTCGGTGCCGCCATTAAATAATCTAACTTCTTCTTATAGGCTTCTTAAAAATCCACTTCAATGTAAAAGTAAATCGACCGTGTGTCCTACTGTTGATATTATATACCTGGTCAAATCTTCTGTTGAAAATATTAGTCAGAGAATGGCAATCCGTGATACATGGGGAATTGAAACAACTTTGCGTATGGTTACAATATTTATCATTGGATATAGTGAATCATTTCAGTTATTTATAGATTTGGAGTCTAAAATGTACGATGATATTCTACAATTCGATATGCTAGATATATACGATAATCTTGTGTATAAAACAGTTTTCACGATTGCCTGGTTATGTGATATGAACATCCAGACAAAATTCGTTCATTTTGTTGATGATGATCGGCTGCTTAATACACAAAACCTGTTGAACTTAGCTTTCAAACGTTTACCCGTATTCGAAATGAAAATGATAGGATTTAAAGTTTCTCATGCAAGACCGTACCGGAAAAGGTCTTCAAAATGGTATATTTCTGTAAATGAATATGAGTTCGATTTTTGGCCTCCATATTTAATAGGAGGAACAGCAATTACAAATATGGTGGTTATAAAAGCACTAAAAGACGGTATTAACTATTCGAAAGTTATTAGAATTGAAGATGCATACATTGGAATACTGGCAAACATGCTTAATATTTCATTGGAACATAATGATGGGTTTTTGCCAGTCTTTGTTCCTGGATACAAACTTCTTGATAAAATATCAAGCCCTGATTATAAAAGTTACGATATATTAACCAAGGAATGGAACATTCTGACATCACATCTCATTTTTTAATTAAAATTTCAAGGTACATTATTGATCTCTTTGGTCAACAGTGACCTTGTGAATTTGATAATAACCTAAAAAAACCAATGAAAAATTTCGATAGCAAATATATTTTATCAGTACTAATTGACCTATGTATAATATAATGGCGATTAACTTTTATCTGAATCATAAAAAAAAAAATGCTTCCTATCAACTACGTTAGAAAACAAGCGTTATTAATCTTGAGCATTATACACAAGTTATATAAACAATCGGAGTTGTATTCCAAATGAATTGTTTTTGAAGAAAAGGATGGTTTATTGGCAAAAAACATCAGTTTATTTTTTTAATATACAATTAGGAAAATGCGATTGCATCGCAACATAGCAAAAGGCTGAAAATTTCACTTTCCGATTAAAAATAATTAATTCGTCTTTCTTTCAAGCACAGAACTATATTTGAATCAAATGTCCTCAATTGCTAAATAACAAAGGAATGAAATAAAACAAAAAATAACATCTATTTGACATATGGCAAAATCCTAGGTACATTATTCATATGATTTGCACCATGTGACTATAGCCCGTTAATTAAATTACCTCCCTTAGATGTAGATTGAAAGTATAAATTATGTAACAATTGCGGATAATTTAGTCTTTTTCCGTCTTAGGTCTAAAACTAACGTGTCTTTAAAAACTTCCTTTGACGGATATTTACAAATATATTGTGTAATTCCAAAGAAAAATGCTTACAATTTGACTATTTGCGAAATGGGAGAGTTGAAATCATCATGTTTATAAAGAATTTGGTCGAAAACTTAAGAAAGCAGGTGAGTTAAATGTTTTAACCTAATAAAAACAACCTACAAGGTGTTTCCCTAAATGCAAACTAATCATGAACAAAGTCTTCTTAGATCTTGATTTCTATTTTGAATCTTGCTTCTTTACGAGTATTCATTATCTTATATAGCAAGTATACTACTGCAACGCTTCCGATTTTTAAACTGAAAAGGCAGAATGTTTTCAAAGTAGACAATGTTCATTTGTACACGAACTGAAGGCTAAAATCATGTACATTTCACCTTTATGCGAACAAAATTGTTAATGTGACTTAGGAATTGGCATTTTTGCATTTTGTTTATAGGGCAGGTATAATCCTATTGTAATGGCCGTCCTCGTGATATGGCCGCTATGAAAATGTGAAAAGTACCACAAGTTTTGCCATATAAATTTTATATCTACAAATTTCTGCTAAAACAAAAGGAAAACCAGTGTTGAAACTATCAGGTTGTTCAAATTGAATTTAAGTTCATTTAAACATATTTTTAAAGAGGTTGGGCTTACTTTGTACATCTACCATTTTCAATTTTTTTACAAATCCAACTGTAAAATCCTCTCCCAAACAGGAAAAGTATTTTAATCAAATACATCAGTAGTTAAGTTGACCATCGAATGTGATGCTATTTAAACAAATGAGTTTTGTTCTTAAAGCAACCACGAGATAAGTAATTTCCAACTGATTTTTACAATCTTTTCTTATGTTATGTTTTTACACCATTGTCCAATAACCCCGACACATTATGTATGTGCCTGTCCCCTGCCAGGAACCTGTCATTCAGTGGTTGCAGTTGGTTGCTGTATGTAATATCTGTTTTTCGTTTATTAATTTGTCATAAATCAAGCTGTTAGTTTTATCGTAAAAATAAACTCACAATTTGTCATAACGGGACCATTTACAGCGGACTATACTGTATGGATGGATTTGTCTTATATTTGAAGATTGTACGGTGACCTATAATTGCTTAAATTCTTGTTTTTTGGATTCGTTGTTGGGTAGTTTTATCATTGGCGATCATACCACTTGTACATCTCCCTACTTTATAAAAGATCTACGCGATATTTTTAATTGTGCATTTCTATGTTTGAGAAGAAAGGAAGAAAGGGTGTAATACTATCATGTCTTAAAAGATTTTATTTGGGGATTTCAGGAGAGACTAAAAGCATAATCAACACAAATAAATAAGATGCAATATAGAATATATTTAGAATAAGTGACTTAAGGAGCTTACAAAAAAAGGTGCCTTCTCGGTTGGGTTGCTGTCACATTGAGATATGTGCACATCTCTTTATGCATAGCATATTCCTGTGGTACACTCTATCAAAGGTTTGTTATAAACACTACCGTTGGCCGTTTAAATCATTCAAATTAATCATACTGGTAAATGAATTTAAACTGAAATTAAGAAAAGGTATGACGTTTAGATATTTTTTTCAACAACACAGCCTTCCTGTCGGAATGATTTTGATGGCGTTGTTTCATGCTTTATTCATAAGATTCCTCCATACATGATTGTTAGTGGGTTCACCTTCTAGTACTTATTTAATATAAGTGTACTTTTTTCCAACTGGCGCGTCCATTTTATAAATATCCGTCATCAGTCAATCATCATTCGTCAATCAGTCTAAATTACGTCAATGATCCATGTCCTATTTTACAAATATGGAGTAATATGTCTGACTGGTATAGGCTTGTTTGGAATCGATGAAGTGTGTTCATATTAAGGAATTACGAGATAAGCACTTTCCAATTGATTTTTACAATCTTTTCTTACGTTGTGTTTTTACACCATTGTCCAATAACCCCGACACATTCTGTATGTGCCTGTCCCCTGCCAGGAACCTGTCATTCAGTGGTTGAAGTTGGTTGCTGTATGTAATATCTGTTTTTCGTTTATTAATTTGTCATAAATCAAGCTGTTAGTTTTATCGTAAAGATAAACTCAAATTTTGTCATAACGGGACCATTTACAGCGAACTATACGGTTTGGATGGATTTTCCTTATTTTTGAAGATTGTACGGTGACCTATAATTGCTTAAATTCTTGTTTTTTGGATTCGTTGTTGGATAGTTTTATCATTGGCGATCATACCACTTGTACATCTCCCTACTTTATAAAAGATCTACGCGATGTTTCTAATTGTGCATTTCTATGTTTGAGAAGAAAGGAAGAAAGGGTGTAATAACATCATGTCTTAAAAGATTTTATTTGGGGATTTCAGGAGAGACTAAAAGCATAATCAACACAAATAAATAAGATGCAATATAGAATATGTCTAGAATAAGTGACTTAAGGAGCTTACTAAAAAGGTGCCTTCTCGGTTGGGTTGCTGTCACATTGAGATATACGCACATATCTTTATGCATAGCATATCCCTGTGGTACAATCTTTCAAAGGTTTGTTATAAACACTACCGCTGGCCGTTTAAATCATTCAAATAAATCACACTGGAAAATTAATTTAAACTGAAATTAAGAAAAGGTTTGACGTTTAGATATTTTTTTCAACAACCTAGCCTTCCTGTCGGAATGATTTTGATGGCGTTGTTTCATGCTTTATTCATAAGATTCCTCCATACATGATTGTGAGTGGGTTCACCTTCTAGTACTAATTTAATATACTTGTACTTTTTTCCAACTGGCGCGTCCATTTTATGAATATCCGTCATCAGTCATTCATCATTCATCAATCAGTCCAAATTACGACAATGATCCATGTCCTATGTTACAAATATGGAATAATATGTCTGACTGGTATAGGCTTGTTTTGAATCGATGAAGTGTGTTCATATTACGGAATTATAGGTTTGTTTTATTTAGCCAAATGGCCAACACACACGTTCCTTGAGTGTACATTAAATAGTAATTATTAATTCTGTTAGATGATATGGAATACACTGAAAAGTATATGAAATAAAGCATCAGATGTTGAAGAGGACATTGAATTAAATTAACGTATTTAGAAATATTACCCTGAATAATGTTATCAAAAATGTATTTCGTATCAAACTTATGTATTGAAAAAAATTATGGTGACGGTGACATTTAAACATGGATAAGTTTGTTAAAGTTGACTAATCGTTTGTATTTCAATTACATTTAGACATAGGAAGACCAAAAGCAGGGTTCCACAAACGATATATCTAGGATAAATAGGTTCATTGTAACAATAAAAATATCTTTTACGAATCTTCATGCGCAATTGTGGATCTTAAACCCAATGCAATTTGGCCTTTTGTCATCGCAATTATGCTTATTTTGACTTAAATTAAGGCGACAGAAGTGTCCCGATGTTCAAATAAAAACGTTAAAAACTAATTAAAATGTCCCGAATTTTCAATTTCATTTTAAATGACAAAGTAAGCAAATTGTGTCAGAGGTCGAATTGGAAATTTTAAAATGAAAAGGGAGCAATATTTATTTTTCCAATAAGTTGGTAGTGTTTTATCAAGCCACAAAGTAAAATTTAGATTTACATCGCCGATGAAACTGGTTGAGTTGAAAGAAGAAAGTCGTCATTAGGACACTCTTCGTCCTATCAATTTAGATAAAAGCAATCAAACTTCTTTATGATATAACTCCTGCCCCACCCCGAATTATTCCACTGTAATTTACGTTATGCTGCCACTTATAACGAGTTCACAAGTATATGTATACTGTTCGCAGGTTTTAAACAAGCAATACTGCTTTACCAAACTCTTGGTTAACGTTTGATTAATATTTGATTCTATTATTTAATCAGCTTTTCAACGTTGCATAAGATAATATAATAATATTTTATCCTAGGGAATCCCTGAAAGAAATATAATTGTCGAAATGCGCATCTGAAGCAGTATCATTGGTACTGTTCATTTGAGAGTCAGAAAATACATTCATGAAAAATATAATAATATTTAACCTTGACCTTTAACAGTGATTCAACAGAATTGCACCGTAAAAAAATACATGAAAGATAAGAGGTTTATGTTTGTGTACGCCAAACGCACGTTTCGCCTACAAAAGACTCATCAGACATCTTGACAAAAAGAGGCGAAAGATACCAAATGGGCATTCAAACTCAAAGTCTAAAATAAACTGACAACGCCATGGCTATAAAAAGAAAAAGACCAACAGACAAACAATATTACATAAAACACAATATAGAAAACGAAAGACTGAGCAACACGAACCCCACTAACAACTGGGTGATCTCAGGTGCTCCGGAAGGGTAAGCAGGTTCTGCTCCACATGTGGTACCCGTCGTGTTGCTCATGTTAGTACAAACCCGGTAATAAGTCTAATACGGTAGGTCATATTCGGGGAAAAGGGGACGGGATTGTTGTTAAGGTATTTGGAACATATCCGCTATCATCTGTGAAACGGATATTCCATAACCATCAACCAACTCATAATGGCATCCGTAAAACCACTTGGAAATCATGGTTTAATAGCTTCCTTGTGAGCAGCAACCCTCTATCAAAGAAATCATGATAGGAAATACAAGCCCTGGAATATCGTATCAACTGGGAGATATATAATCCATATGCAGCCGCTGGTGGAATGCTGCTACATAGAAATTGAAAGTTCACAATTTGGAAGCTGAAATCATCTCTTTTGTCGTAAAGTTTTGTTTTCAACCGACCATCATTGTCAATTTCTAGATGAAAGTCAAGATATGAGGTAGACTTAAAAGTATCTGTTGTATCCTTTATCTCAAGTTCGATTGGAAAGATGAGTTCAACAAAATTTTGAATTATTTAGTGAGAAAACGTAAAATTGAGAATGGAAGAATACATATAAGAAGCGTTCGCATGGTTTATAATACAGTCGTATAGTATTAGACATACACATACTTAACCTAGAAAGTGTTTTTTTTTAAATTTGGAACTCAATTAATGTGTCATCAATGTAATGTTGATCAAAAGGTGTACTTGATCTTTTATTTGTCTTTGTAGATTTTGAATTTTTACTGTTTAGTCCATTTTTTGTAATATCCTTTTAGCGTGGCTCGGTATTTATACATCCCGCCATTGTCTAATTGTGCTATGGTCATTTTTTGTATTCTTGTCTTTCATTTTTGCATTTGTTCTTTGTCTATAGAGTCTCTACATGCCATTTTGTGTTTCTTTGTTGACATAGTTGTTTGTTTTTATAGTAATTAAGATAAAAACACAATGTTGACAGCTGTACCCTAATTTTCAACATTTTTACCTATTATTTCTGTTTGGTTTGCTCACACATTGTTGTCAATATAATGGAATTTTATGCGACTGTCATAAAAGTGAGAAGTTTAGCTAGCTATCAAACCAAGTTTAATCCACCGTTTTCTACATAAGGAAATGCCTGAACCAAGTCAGGAATATGACAGTGGTTTTCCATTCGTTTGATGTGTTTGAGCTTTTGATTTTGCCTTTTGTTAAAGGACTTTCCGTTTTGAATTTTCTTTGGAGTTCGGTATTTTTAGGTCTTTCCACTTTTCTGTGGAAAGACCTATTGTATTTGTTCTGATTATTATTATTATTAGGTCTTTCCACTTTTCTGTGGAAAGACCTATTGTATTTGTTCTGATTATTATTATTATTAGGTCTTTCCTCTTTTCTGTGGAAAGACCTATTGGTTTTCTTCTGATTATTTTTTTTTTTCTTCCGCCAAATTTGCGATAAATTTTTGTTTCGCAAGATGTCGCTTAGATGTTTCGTATATGATATCAAACAGTTTATGCGCCTTTGAAATTGACCCTGCTTAACCGAATACTTTTCATTGTAGGAGTTATCTCCCAGAACACTGCTTTCCTTGTGCATGCATCTCCTCCGTAACCGTAAAAGAAAAGAAAGAAAATTTTTGTTTCGCAAGATGTCGCTTAGATATTTCTTATATAGTATCATACAGTTTATGCGCTTTTTATTTTCACCCATTCTAAGCAGAACAATTTTCTTTGTAGGAGTTATCTCCCTGAACGCTGTTTTCCTTGTGACTGCATC